ATGATGTGTGGCGTATGATTGCTCAAACGTGATGCATGATGTTCTCCTTGGCGCTCCTACGTCTAGGGTGGGACTTTCCTGTGAACGTATTGTATGTTGAAGTTACTTTCACATCTCCACATGGTTGCCCATGGACGACGCTATTTCCCATTTCTGACTTCTGACACATAATTATACAGAACAGTGTAATAGAGGACAGCGAAAATCCCAACTACATAAAGTGCTCTATCACCCGAGTCCTTCCCTGCCGACTTTCATCACTATCGGCTTGCAATGTGACGTAATATCTGCATGAACATTGAATTTACGGCACTTTTGGATACGGTAGTGGTTCGATATACGATTGAAGGCACTGAATGTATGTGAACCGACGTGATTTGTCTGTAAAGAAGAAAGTATCGCACTTGGCAATAGGAGTAGCTGCTACCACAAAAAAAAGCGTTGAAGGTCGTACCTGAGAACTATGAAAGCAGGATGATGAGCTTGCGTGCCCCGTTGCGATGGGCAATCCCGACCCGCAAGTGGTGGAGAGGGTTACGAGGAGGGAGGGAGAGGGCATCGAGAAGAAAGGCTAAAGATAATGGAAGGTAAGAAATCGAACTTCGGGGAGTGAATACCTCCATTTCTATCACTTCAGATTATGCTTTTTACTGGGTAAAGAGCTTCCTTCATCGCGACTGGAGAACCGGCAATGGTGTTCGTGCGGATCGTGTGTGACATTCACCACGATCCGCGAAAACGTATGCTGCCGTGAAGCTTTGGAGGAAGGCAGAGGCAACGAAGCCTTGAAAGGGTTGAGAGAGAAGCTGAAGGAGAGTGGGCAATGCATTGTCCACCACCCTTCATTCTACAAAGTAGCACAAGACCCTGAGGTAACGTTTCAGTTCTTCCGGTACGTCGCGTGAATTTCGTGCCTAATGCAGACGCTTCGCGTGTTACTTGTGAATCTGAGGGTGGAGAGGAAAAAGGAGAAGGATCCAGTTGAAGATGAGAACAGGCTAGTTCCTCTTCAAGAACTTCAACAAGGCTTGTGTAACTCCTATTCAGGTGCCTGAGATATTGTGCCTACCGAGCTTTTGTAGCCTGGTGTTACGGGCACTTAGGCTTCAGCAAACGATACGAACTTCCGGCGTGCGCCAGAGGAGCCATTATTAAAACTTTCCCTTCAAGTAGTGGAGTATACGTAGGGTTCAAGGTAGTGTTTACTTGTTCCTCATAGGGGCTTATAGCATGTATGAATGTTATAGGGAAGTACCAACGACTCGGGAAATCTTGAGTGCGACGACTGGAGCCTGTCTGTGCTGTAGATCCCAGTGTCATTACTGTATCATTTGTATTTCTAGTTCAATATGTATAATATTCTACAATAATACTGGCTTCTCACCGAGTCACAGCTCACACTCATATCCGTCTTCCGCATCCATTAGGTCCGCGACCCACTTAGGACGGCCACCTTTTCTCTTCGACTCCAAGGCTATAAGTCGTTCTCTGAGGACCTCCCTCAACACCAAGTCCCTCCATATGTGTTTGGGTTGGGACTTCACGATCAGCGTTGATTCCCTGTTGAGGTACTTACGCTTGATCTTGCGTCTCCTTACCACCCCGCTCATCTCCGCTAACCGCAGTGTATATGCATCGTGGCCATCATCGTATAGAGGGGGTATGTTTCGATTGGATAGAATATTTCCTTGCGGCAATAAATTCTATCCAATGCATTTTTAGTCTCACATATGGAGGTGCCTCCATGAGGGCCATCTCGCTGAAGACTCGGTCAGGACGACTCCTCGGAACTGCTTATAGGCCTCGCTATCGACACCCATGTCCCCGGGCCGCGGACCTGACAAGGGAGCATGTGAACACCTTCTGTAAGGGCCGGTCAAGTCGTCCTGTAAGAGGAATATTAGTATTGTAGGATTATGATAAGTAAGAGCACACACCAGTGGCCACCGATGCACGCCGCAAACATGCATAAGGCAGGTATTGAAAATGGCTCTGACGTCAGCCCCCGATTTCGCTCCCTGTTCTATCGCAGTCCATAGGTGCGTCTTCACGTTTTCCGTCCAAGCGGCGATTACACCGCAGTCGGTCTTCTTGGAAGCCTGAAAAGCAACTCGTGACGTCGGTTTTCCCATAGAGCGGCTACGGTTACTTCCTACCTTCCTGAGCTCGTTACCTAACCACTTCACTAAGTGCCATCCGTCATAGTAGTGACGAATGGCACCAAGCTCAGCCTCCATTTCTCGAAGTGCAGCTCCCAAAGCACGGCTGCGATCAGTCGTGAGCGAAGACACGCGAAGTCCCAATTGACGCACCCAGCGCATGAGACGCTTCACGCCCTCTACCTCCATTCGCGAACTAATGTTCTC